GGTCAGCATCACGCCCCGACCGGCTTTACCCCCGGGAAAGGACCCTGGTACCCATTGTAGAGGAGGCTGGGTGGGCCCCAGAGCCGGTCTGGACGCAGAGGCTAGAAGAAAAATCCTCTGCCCCCGTCGGGGATTGAACCCCGGTTGTCCAGCCCGTAGCTAGTCACTATACTGACTGAACTATCCCGGCTCAAATTCATTACTGTACATTTAGAATATTTTCATATTGGATGAAACAGGCCAAATATGTGAACAAAGGGGTAGTGCAATAAATATTTTTTAGAACAGATTTAGTATACTAAAAGGGTGGATGGATTCTATATGTTAAGTCACGCTATTCTGGTTTAGGGAAACAAATATTATTAGTCACGGGGTACGCATTGTTTTGTGATATTTTCAGTATAACTGACCTCTACATTGCTGAAAAAGATTGTAGTTGATATTTACATAGATCATTCATGATTAGTGGTTGGGAAAACACATAGTTTTATTGCACATATTAAAGCTATTGCATCAGAATGCACTTAGTAGCCATTGAATCATTCATTGTCAAATTCTTACTGTGAAAAAGATTCCATTCACAATGAAAACTGATTTTCATTTTGCAATAGGTTGCAGTTTTACAACACGCACTGCCACAGACAAAAGTTTAATGATTATCATATGGCAGAGTTTGGTTCAAGATATTCTGTAGTTTTGTTCCCCAGTGTTGATAATCCTTTCCAGCTGTCATCAAGTTTGTATTCATTTCAAATATAGCTGTGAATAAGTTCCTTGTTTCTATCTACATACTGTGCAAAATAGCATTCAGAAACAGGAACAAAATACAGAAATAGGCCTAATGCAAAACACAACACAAGAATACAGTTTTCCAAAACTATAACTGACTTCACACCCACAGAAATACAGGTAGCCCTCGATTTCCGACGATTCAGAATAACGCCAATTTTGAAACCAGCGAGCCAAAAAGTGAAAAAAAAAATTTACTATTATTTATAACGTTTTACAATGTATCTCGTACTGATTCTTATACTAAATCGTAATTCTTACATCGCTGATTTTTAATAAAAATTATAAATACAGTCATCTCTGCAATTACGTATGTTAACGCGAATTTGCTCCAATGAGAGCCATGAATCGGTAAAATCTGTTTGTGAAATGCAAACTTATACATATGCGAGTTTCCTCATATGCAATTTCATTCCTGGCGCTTTAAACTTTCAAAGGACTAATTTAATCTCTGCAGAGGTACCAGGGTTATTTTTACTACGCGATTTTCTATAGGTCGGCGTCTTACATGAATGCAACTATCACATAACAGCAGAGATGACTAAACGCATCAATCACATGAAAGAATCGCAGTCAATCACGGGGACCAACAAATTGCCGATTGTAAGTGTATAAAATATATTTTTAAATTCCCTTTATTTTATTTACGTTATTTCAGAGCTTCAAATGTAATGCCATTACATTATTCGTCAATGTTTGGGTGCTGGGAACGCATGTCATTGACTTCCCATTGATTTACATTATAAAAGAGTTTCAATTTACTCCGGTTCATCCAGGAACGCGTCCCCGGCGTAAATCGAGGGCTACATGTATTTTGTTTTGCAGCAGTAAGAAGTTTGAGAACTGCTGTGTTATTTTGTCTTATATCTCTTGTAATTTTATCTGATGTTTGGGACTACTTTCTGTAAGTAAAACATAATTTTTCCTGAATTAATTTAAACCATAATATTATTAACAAGTCACTTTGCTTCAGTTTACCACATTAATGTGTGTACATCAGTTTCACAGAGTTAGGAAAGGCTGATACAGAAGTTGTAAGAAAATTCAAATGATGTATCACATTATTTCTTCTTATAGTTACATTAGTAATACAGACTGATTTGTTGTTCCCTTGTGTGACATTACTGGGATCAGTTGCATTTGCTGTTCTATATTTGATTTAATACTTGTTGCTACCTTGTGAAGTGATCAACGTACCTTAATTTTAAGTGTAAATTCTTGAATGTCTGCTAGTGGTTGTTGTCTTCCATCTAATAAAGAGTTTGTCTTTGGGAAGCATTTATCTTCAATGCAGCAGCCTAAATCCTCAGAAAAAAATATTTTTGACTAGTTGTTGCATTTCTTCAACTGAATGTAATATTTTTGCGTTGTAATATATTTTTAGAAACCAATAGGGGAGCCAGGGGCAGAACGGGTTATCGATTTTATTTCGTCTGCAATGCGTTGCGATCTATCGGGACCGGGTGAAATTTCATTAGCATGCAGCATAGGATCATGGCGTAGGTCATGTCATCTTGTGGTTACAGTTTCTGAAATAATTACCCATGCTGGATTTTGCTCCTACATTTTAGAATCTTTTCTCTACTTCCAGTGAAGGTAAGACCTATTCATTATTCATATCCACTTTGTTCAATGATGCATGTTACAAGGTGTTTTCTTGAAAGTCTTAAACACAATATTTTTATTTATTTTCATGATGTCATTTTTGGTGGGACAATCCTAACCTGAAAAAGTATACTCGGGGCAGAATGAGGAGTGCCTGTATTGTGGAGATGTCTATTCTCAGTTTATTGAAGGGTAGATCCGGTGTTCGTCTTGCTTGAAATGGGCCCATAACTCGTGCAGGTGTTGATAGTGACGATGATGAAAAGGTGCACATGTGTGCTGTCAGTGTTAGGCCTTAGTAGATCTAAAATGCGTAAAGTTTCTACATTTTTGGAGCCTATTTTTAGAACTTACATTGTATACTTTATCATTTTTATATCCTACGTCATAATTATTACATAATATGCCTTATTAAAACTTTTTCAAACATATATCAATCATACCCTGTCTGACATGCAGCAAAATGGGGCAAGTTACATTTTTGTAAAAAAATTAATATTTGAAACAACTGTAACTCTTAGAACTAAACTGATAACTCATTACAAATTTCAAATAGACAATAAATCCACACAAGGTTCCTCCATGTGTTTGTTTTTATTATTGTTCCTTCCACATGTCTCCAAATATTAAGTTCCCCCGTTCTGCCCTGGGCTCAAGTACTGTCACACTGTATTATAATACATTTTACATATCATTGACTATATGAAGTATTGCTAGATCTCAATCTGGTCCTCTGATATTCATGGTCTTGCAGTTTACATATTATGTTACAGATTGTAATTAAATAAAAGTTTGTAGATAACATATGGACATAAAGCCTATTACTTATGGTGGCGTGAAATGATTACTAGTAGAAATGCCTGTTATAGGTTTTCTTTCAAATAAGTTCTTCAGAAATAATTAAATCGCTTATGATAGTCTTACAGATATATTCCCTTGACAAATTTTCTTTTATATACCATCATGGTTCTGTGCAGTGATTGCTGTATGAATTAAACAGTTACCATGCAATGAAACATCAGTAGACACAGATTACATGTGCTATAAAATCAGTTATTGCACAGTAACCAGGTGAGAGAGAGAGAGACAGAAACAGAGAAAGAAACAGTTGACATTGTATGAAAGGATCTTAAATGTAACGGAAGTTAGTTACAATCCTGTCAGTTGCTTACCTGCAATGCCACGGTCTTCCAACTTACGCACAAGTCTTCGTGCATTGTTAAAATTTCCAAAGCCTGTGTCTGCATCTAGGAGGATGGGAATGTGTGTTGCATCAGCCATGAACTCGGCCACTTCCAGGACCTGTGTCCACGAAGCTTCATTGCTATCCCTGACACCCAGTTGGGCTGAGATGGACAGTCCACTGCCCCATATGCCATGAAACCCTGAAACACTTGCATCTTTGAAATTTTTTTCAAAATAAAATTTAAAAATATTATTTTGTGAGACAGTTCATGCTGTCTTTGTGTTTGTGTGTGTATGTGTATGTGTATCCACTGTAAAAAAAAAAGTAAAGTAAAGCTGTCCCATTACATGCCATATAGTCCATCAGTGATCAAATCATGTCGTCCAGCCTGTAGTCAGTCACTGTACTGACAGCTACCCCAGCTCAGGTCTATCCACTGGACCCAATTAATTACTTTTGTACCAATGGACACATTTAATATATATATATCATGACCGTACTACTGAGCAGGTTAGCTCAGAAGTCATGTTCCTTATTTTCAGAAGGTCCTGCCAAGTTTCTGCTGGCACTTCATGTGTGTGAGTGATGTTACAGCATTTATCACCAGAGATACAATTGTTTTCACACACATGACATTTTTGTTCACGATTACCACTTATGTTAAAGAACTTGTCCCAGTGGACTGAAGCCTTTTGTGAAATTCTGGTCAAGTGCTTGTAATAACATCATCATTCATAAACCACTTCCCTGATAAATGCTGTTTTAGGAGGCTAAAGAGATGGAAGTCTGAGGGCACCAAGTTAAGACTGTCTGGTATAATATTGTCATGGAATTTGATCATGTTATCACACGTCTTTCCTGGTTTCTTTCACACTTTCCCAGTCTCACTGCTTTCTTGCATGCTGTTCCCACTGTTCAAACAACAATACCTGGTAAAACATTTCCACTGGTCAACATTTACCATGTGCTGTGTCTGTTTGTACCTTACCTATGGAACAATCTTCATATATCTGGTTCAGTAAATTTGCTGTCCATACCTGCTTCCTCCACAATGCGAGCGCTCAGGCCAGAGTGTGCTTCCATGAGGAAGGCGAGTTGTGGTGAGCTGAGCAGTTGTTTTAGCAGAGTAGTCTTCCGCTTGCTTGATGTGCTTACTGACCTGCCCAACACTAAATTTCGGACTGTAAACATGAGATTAATGTTTTATGCAGGTTGATTTGTTGTTAGATATACAACTTTTAATGATGAGTAATGTACTCAAAAACAGATATATAATTTTATATAAACATGGGTCCACACATCCTTAGTTTTAAGGTTAGGGCTCTTCTTACATGCTGAAATTTAACAGACAAAGCACATGGTGAGCATAATTACACACTGCACATCTGCACACAAAAACTGCCTACTGCACAGTGGTGGCTGACACTAATATTATTTAAACTCTGCATGCAAATAGAGCACCAGAAGTGTACCAGATGGCACTAGTCACAATCACCCTCTAACTGCACTAACTACTGTGCATAGCACTGCTCTGTCAATTACTCTGATTACCCTCACCAGTCTTTATCCTTATACCTGACAGGTCTCAGACCTTACCAAACAGACAGGAAGGCAGTGCAGTTAAATTGTGACTAGTGCCATCTGGTGCACATCTGATACACAGTTTTTGCATGACATTTCAATAATAATATTAGTTATGCTCACCAGGTGCTTTGTCCATCAAATCCCAGTATGTAAGAAGGGCCCTGACTTAAAAACTAAGGATTTGCAGACCCATGTTTTTGTTAAATTATATAATTGGTTTTGGATGTAAAGCTCACCACTGAAATTTGTACATCTGATATTGAATCACCTGTATAGTGATGCTTTGTCAGGTCATGATAGTCACATAAATAAATCTGAATTAGCAAATGACTGGCGATCTAGAGGGCATTCTCAAATGATAAATTGTTGAACTTGTATTCATTAGCTTTAAAACATTGTTTCTCTCAAAATTTATTACTTAATGTAATAAAACTTGAAAACTGCAATGAATTCTTCTTGGGCCACCAGCCGTGTAAGGTGGCTTAATGAAGAAAACACCAATGCTTCGAGAACCGTCTGCATCCTCAGGGTACTGTAGTTGTGGGAGAACCTATCCGTGATCAGTGTCTACCTGACCCAGTTTTGTGTTATTGGCTGCACGTTAACCAATCTGGCCTGGCGTGCATAGTGATGTCCTCGCTATGTTTAGCCCATTTTCCAATTGGATAACATGTTTGTTACTGGATACCAGGTCCGGCTCAATAAGTTCTCTGATTATGTTGCCAGAGTTCTGTTGAATTTCAATAGCTTCCTTCTCAACTAAGGACAAGGATGAAGATGGTTCTCGAAACATTGGTGTTTTCTTCATTAAGCCACCTTACATGGCTGGTTGCCTGAGAATAATTTATTTTACTTAGTCACCATGAAAACTTCAGATCATACAAAACTTGTAAACTGTCAGCTGGCAAAGTTAAGAATACATTCAGCTTTATCTACAGTCCCCAGTTTTGCAAATTATGATATTGTACATACCTAGGCACAGAGGTAACAATTACTGCTATTCAGTAAATCTTTTGTATATTTTAAGAATTAATCCTTAGTACACAACATGAGTCAGACCCTCCATTGTGCTGAACTAGACTTTCCACTAAACTTATATGTAAGCCATAGAAGAAGTGTAGTCACTTGCAGAAACAAAAGACAAATTTCAGTTTTGTATGTAACAGATCTCTTATATTTAAAGCTGTTTGGTTACATTGCGTTTCTCACATTATGACATTACTTTTTTCAGCAGACCAGACAAGAATCCTTTAATATATTTATTATATGTAGAAAACAAGGATAGAGTTTTCTTACCCAGGTTTTTGCCACCATTGAGGAGTCGTGTCTTGTGGGCCATATTTCTGAAAAATGATCAGTATATTTTCAGTCTCTAAAGGAAAATTGACTTTTTTCATGATTGGAGAGATGCCTCATGACATTGTTTATAATCGTCAATGTTGTTATTTTTGCAGAAAAGTTTCCAGTCAAAATAGCTGGTCCTTACCAGGATTCAAATTACATGCTTCCTGAACATGAAATATGTGGTAACCATGACACAGTAGTGTTTAATCTTCTTGACACAGGGAAAGTGTTTTTCCATAATTTATTCACTCATACATTGAAATTAAGATTCCATTTATGATGTAAATTACTCATGCCAGTAACTGTGGTGTTTTCTCCATTAAACCACCTGGTGCTTCAAGAAGAATTAATTATACTTAGTCGCTGTGAAAGCTTCAGATCATACTTCATAATTTACGTTCTTGATTTTTTCACTGTCTTAATAGACTTCCTTTTACATTTTTCAACTAATTTTTGGATATTTAAAATTTGATCACTTTTTAACTTCCTTGTACTTATTCCTAATTTCATTTAAAACTAATGCTTATTGAAGACAGTGAGAGTGTCATGAGCAAGAAGTTCATCTTAGCAAAGTCAAACTTTACTTTTTTCTCTTTTGGCTTTCTTGAGAGTGAAAGAGGTGTTTGTGTGATCACATAAACTATGTCCTCTGCTTGTAATGTCAGCAGTGTAAGCCTGCTTAGTCCATGAATATTTATCAGATAGGAATTAACATGTTTCAATGTTACCGCTGTTATGACAAAACTAATAAATAATAATATGCTTTTTGCACAATGTACATATGTCAAGACATGCTATATTGTGTAGAATTATTCTTTAGCAGATAGTCTCAACACTGAACAAACTTTGCTCTACTGAGGAATTCAGAACAACTGGGTTTTGTCATACCTCAACTCACCTGTGGGCGGAAACAACCATTTTCTGAAATATCTTTTTAAAAATGATGGGTTAACTTCTATGAAATAATAATTATGCATGTTATGTCACATGATTATCAGAAACATTTAAATGCTATATTGTCTTGATTGTGTGTGTGTGTGATGACACATGGTATAATTTATTTTACACTATAATAATTGGAAGATAAAAAGAATACTAAATTAATGTTGCCACATGATACTGCAGAATCTTTCAATATCACGAATTAAAAGTTTACCCAAATATTTGTATTTTTATAGCACTTAATACTCACAAACAAAAATTAATCCAAAACTTATGTTCACCATCTGTTATATATTTAGATTATGTATGAAAGAGTAACCCACCCTAAGTAGGTTTGACACAGTGTTTGACTTGTCATTGGTTTTTCTCTGCTGAATGTTGAGTTAGATGCTTGATAAATATGACCTCTTGGGTCAATTTCCAGTAAACCTTATCAGCTTGTTGTGTGTATTAATGTTCTGTTGGTGATAATGGAGCTATTTGACTGTGAAATATCAGACAGTAACAAGTATGTTGCAACTTATTTCATCATGTACTTATAGCATTCTGTTTGAATACAATGTATTGTATACAGTTTATATTGCATGTAAAATAATTCCATTATCCATGCTACGGTGAATAATTGTATATTCTCATATTCCATCATCTGTTTACTACCTTTGTACCTATGCTGTGCTGGGTCGTCCTTCAAAACTTGATTTATATTCACTGCTTAAAACTCCAACTGTCAGACTGCAGTTTGTTGATAAAAGTCATGTTATGTCTTGTATGTAGTGAAACTGAATCCACAAAGCAGTCATTTTTTAAGTAGTATCTCAGCTGGTCAATGAACTCTTTATTCATGAAAGCAGTAATTAAACAATTTAAATAAAAGCAATGTTACAAGTTGCATGAAATTGGCTATAATTAACATATTCACATTCTGTTGTGTTAACATAGGGAATGGTGAATTATGAGGGTGTATGACAATGTACTAAACAGTGAAGATTTCTGTCTTCTGGGTTGTTGCGCTGTGTAGACAGAAATTTTCATACTCACCGCTGTGAAAACCTCAAATCTTACATACTAAACAGTGGTCTCTTTTATGGTAGACCAATCTGGCCTGGCGTGCATAGTGATGTCCTCGCTATGTTTAGCCCATTTTCCAATTGGATAACATGTTTGTTACTGGATACCAGGTCCGGCTCAATAAGTTCTCTGATTATGTTGCCAGAGTTCTGTTGAATTTCAATAGCTTCCTTCTCAACTAAGGACAAGGATGAAGATGGTTCTCGAAACATTGGTGTTTTCTTCATTAAGCCACCTTACATGGCTGGTTGCCTGAGAATAATTTATTTTACTTAGTCACCATGAAAACTTCAGATCATACAAAACTTGTAAACTGTCAGCTGGCAAAGTTAAGAATACATTCAGCTTTATCTACAGTCCCCAGTTTTGCAAATTATGATATTGTACATACCTAGGCACAGAGGTAACAATTACTGCTATTCAGTAAATCTTTTGTATATTTTAAGAATTAATCCTTAGTACACAACATGAGTCAGACCCTCCATTGTGCTGAACTAGACTTTCCACTAAACTTATATGTAAGCCATAGAAGAAGTGTAGTCACTTGCAGAAACAAAAGACAAATTTCAGTTTTGTATGTAACAGATCTCTTATATTTAAAGCTGTTTGGTTACATTGCGTTTCTCACATTATGACATTACTTTTTTCAGCAGACCAGACAAGAATCCTTTAATATATTTATTATATGTAGAAAACAAGGATAGAGTTTTCTTACCCAGGTTTTTGCCACCATTGAGGAGTCGTGTCTTGTGGGCCATATTTCTGAAAAATGATCAGTATATTTTCAGTCTCTAAAGGAAAATTGACTTTTTTCATGATTGGAGAGATGCCTCATGACATTGTTTATAATCGTCAATGTTGTTATTTTTGCAGAAAAGTTTCCAGTCAAAATAGCTGGTCCTTACCAGGATTCAAATTACATGCTTCCTGAACATGAAATATGTGGTAACCATGACACAGTAGTGTTTAATCTTCTTGACACAGGGAAAGTGTTTTTCCATAATTTATTCACTCATACATTGAAATTAAGATTCCATTTATGATGTAAATTACTCATGCCAGTAACTGTGGTGTTTTCTCCATTAAACCACCTGGTGCTTCAAGAAGAATTAATTATACTTAGTCGCTGTGAAAGCTTCAGATCATACTTCATAATTTACGTTCTTGATTTTTTCACTGTCTTAATAGACTTCCTTTTACATTTTTCAACTAATTTTTGGATATTTAAAATTTGATCACTTTTTAACTTCCTTGTACTTATTCCTAATTTCATTTAAAACTAATGCTTATTGAAGACAGTGAGAGTGTCATGAGCAAGAAGTTCATCTTAGCAAAGTCAAACTTTACTTTTTTCTCTTTTGGCTTTCTTGAGAGTGAAAGAGGTGTTTGTGTGATCACATAAACTATGTCCTCTGCTTGTAATGTCAGCAGTGTAAGCCTGCTTAGTCCATGAATATTTATCAGATAGGAATTAACATGTTTCAATGTTACCGCTGTTATGACAAAACTAATAAATAATAATATGCTTTTTGCACAATGTACATATGTCAAGACATGCTATATTGTGTAGAATTATTCTTTAGCAGATAGTCTCAACACTGAACAAACTTTGCTCTACTGAGGAATTCAGAACAACTGGGTTTTGTCATACCTCAACTCACCTGTGGGCGGAAACAACCATTTTATGAAATATCTTTTTAAAAATGATGGGTTAACTTCTATGAAATAATAATTATGCATGTTATGTCACATGATTATCAGAAACATTTAAATGCTATATTGTCTTGATTGTGTGTGTGTGTGATGACACATGGTATAATTTATTTTACACTATAATAATTGGAAGATAAAAAGAATACTAAATTAATGTTGCCACATGATACTGCAGAATCTTTCAATATCACGAATTAAAAGTTTACCCAAATATTTGTATTTTTATAGCACTTAATACTCACAAACAAAAATTAATCCAAAACTTATGTTCACCATCTGTTATATATTTAGATTATGTATGAAAGAGTAACCCACCCTAAGTAGGTTTGACACAGTGTTTGACTTGTCATTGGTTTTTCTCTGCTGAATGTTGAGTTAGATGCTTGATAAATATGACCTCTTGGGTCAATTTCCAGTAAACCTTATCAGCTTGTTGTGTGTATTAATGTTCTGTTGGTGATAATGGAGCTATTTGACTGTGAAATATCAGACAGTAACAAGTATGTTGCAACTTATTTCATCATGTACTTATAGCATTCTGTTTGAATACAATGTATTGTATACAGTTTATATTGCATGTAAAATAATTCCATTATCCATGCTACGGTGAATAATTGTATATTCTCATATTCCATCATCTGTTTACTACCTTTGTACCTATGCTGTGCTGGGTCGTCCTTCAAAACTTGATTTATATTCACTGCTTAAAACTCCAACTGTCAGACTGCAGTTTGTTGATAAAAGTCATGTTATGTCTTGTATGTAGTGAAACTGAATCCACAAAGCAGTCATTTTTTAAGTAGTATCTCAGCTGGTCAATGAACTCTTTATTCATGAAAGCAGTAATTAAACAATTTAAATAAAAGCAATGTTACAAGTTGCATGAAATTGGCTATAATTAACATATTCACATTCTGTTGTGTTAACATAGGGAATGGTGAATTATGAGGGTGTATGACAATGTACTAAACAGTGAAGATTTCTGTCTTCTGGGTTGTTGCGCTGTGTAGACAGAAATTTTCATACTCACCGCTGTGAAAACCTCAAATCTTACATACTAAACAGTGGTCTCTTTTATGGTAGGAAGGGAGATCATGTGAATCCAAAGTCAAGAATTATTTGTCTAGGCTGGAAGAGATGGGAAATGCTGTAAGTTTCTTTTGCAAATGTGGACTGTAGTGTAAATGTTGGTTGCTCCTCCCTTCTAGTCAGGCCAACTCTTTACTATTTTTATTAACAAGTGAGTTAGTGTATACATCTTCTGTTCAGTTCACATATCATATTTTGAGTAGAACTACAATGAGTACAACAGTAGCATAATCAACAGTATGAAATCTTTCTGAAATATGAGATTTCTATGTGTTGGTAGTGCTTACCTGGTTGGCACATGTCAGCCAGATGGTAAAGAGGGCAGCTCAACGATTGGGGGTGCTTGGTCCCCTCCTTGATAGGAAAAGCGGCCTCTCCGTCAGGAACAGTGTGCTGATCACTCACCGCCATCCAGTGCCGAGGTCAAGAATGAGTAGGAGCTGTATGATCTCTTCCCTGAAGCGCCTATGTGGCATATACTGGGACAGCTTTACTTTCTAGACTTTGTGCCATGAAAAATTCCTGTCAGTGAAAGCACACTACTGTTTTCGTTTCAAGGCACTATTTACCATTTCCAGCAATGTGTCTTGTATGCAGGAGTGGTGTTACCTAGCAAGGGACGATGTTTTGTGCATGCGCAGGACTCCGTTCTTAGTTGGCTTTTTGGTTTCCTGACACCACATACCAATGGAGCGGGTGTTAACTTAACTCAGTTTTAAGTTAGTCTAGTCTAGTCTGTGTTTATCCGTCCGTTGTGTTATGAATGGATGTGTTGAAGGTGCAACGTGTTTGTATCAAGTTCTGCCAGGCATTTGGTAAGATGGCCACAAGGGACGTATCATGGGTTTGTGGCTACTATCCTGAGACAAAACAAATGCTGATTCACCTCGGCCAAAGAAAGCTAGTCAAGTCAAGTCAAGTCCAGTCAAATGTCTGGACAAAGTTGATTGCTTTCTTTGACATGGAGGGTCTGGTGCACCATGAGTTTCCTCCCAAAGGCCAGACCATGAATCAGGCTGTCTACAGAACCGTTCTGCAACGCCTTTGATATGCAGTTTGTCAGAAAGGTCCCTTCATATAATTTGGAGGAAATAACTTCCAGTAATTTGTAGATACTTAGGTTTCCTTCAATAAATGCTGTCCGGGAAATTTTTTATCAGCCGTAATATTCTGCTACCACTTGATCTTTCATATTTAACTTTTGAATCAATGCCAGTCTACTGTGGTACCCATTCATACAGATGTCCAAGTGTAGTAGTCTTGGCCTTCATTTTGCCATGGAATCTGGTCCAATGGCTTGGAAAAGTCAATTCTATTTCATGTTTTCCTTCAAATTACACATATACGTTGGTGTCTCTTCTTAATACATATGTGGCATGCGTAATTGTAATGATGGTGCCAGCTGTACACTTACATCAGTTCTGGTAACAGACATTAATAGTATTAAGGGTTCCTCTAAGTAAGGCGCTGGAAAACTGAAACTAAACCTACTATTATTGATAAAACATATCGAATAGCAATCATATTATTACAACTTTAATACATGTATTTTTATTGTATGTCAGTATACATGATATGATGGTGCTGTTCTTTTACTTTATATAATGAAAAAAATTATAACACATCCAATTACTATTATGAAGACACCCAAGAAGATAAGTTTTTTCTGAAACAAGAGACGGGTGAGAACATGTTACTAGCATATGGTAATATGACAGTTATAAAATTGGAGTGGGAACAGGAGAACATTTCAGCTTTTGTACCAAAACTATAACCAACTCCACAGAGCAAAGTACTTCTTGAGAAAGTGTTTGTCAATTAGCTAGTCAAGAAATTCCTCATCTTTATGGAACCCAGTGATTAACAAGAGTGGTACCTATCCTGAGCCAGGTGAATCCAGTCTAAAAGCTTTTAAGCATACCTTTCTTTGTTTTACTTTTATTTTTTGTGCTTTCTGGAGCCAGCTTTTACCATGATCAGTGCATCCTCCAGCCTTTAGCAAATGGAATTCTATTCTCTTGATATTGTCACCCTGTCAGAGAAATCGCAGTATTGAATCAATTTAGGTTATTTACTCCAACTTCCTAATGATTTTAAACATTTTATGAAAGGGGTGGATTATTTAGAAATCATCATGAAGCATAATTAATTAACCATTGATTTAAGAGCAATATTTAGGGTGAGAGTAAACTCAATTTTGTAGTGCTGCTTTTACACAAATTATTGTAAATGATAGAAGCATATATCAAGCATTCATGCTTGTTGTACCTGTGTGTCTACCAGTATTGCCATCTGCACAAATATGTCCCTTATTTCCTGCACAGATCTTTCAGTATTCAGTAACTTTTCATGTCTTGCTTTTACACTTGACAGAGCAAATTGGGCTTCAAGGTATCTGCAACAATCTGGAGAAGAGATAACATAAGATACTTCTTTAGCATTAAGATGATGTTTCTTTGTTGATGCTTCATTCTGCTAATTATTTCACAAGTGATCTCTGTCTTGACATGAACCTCTCTCTGCCTGCAAGCCATGTGTGAGGTATGATGGTGACAGATTTTGTTAGACAAAGATGAGGTGTAAGACAGGGTTGTAGTTTGAGTCCTATGTGTTTAATATTTTTATTAATGATATTATTGTTATTAATGAAGATAATGTACATGCTCCAGTAATGGGAAAGATGTCAATCCCAGAATTGCTGTTTGCAGATGACTTAACAATTGGCTCATTTATGGTTAATGGGGTTACAGAAAGGGATGGACTAAGTGGTGAAATATTGCAGAGACTGTAATTTGAAAAAAATAAAATTATTAGTCTGTAGAAAGGGAGGTAAAGTGAAAAAGAACAAGAAATGATTTATGTACAACCAGTTAATAGATATCTGTTATTTAGGAGTTACCCTCAAAAGCACAGGAGATTGGAACAAGCATAAATCTAGACAGATGCTTCAAGGAAATCAGTCCTTAGTAACTATTGACAAGTGTTTAACAAGAACACCTGATATAATATTGAAACTTTTAGAAATTGTATATGAGATGGTGTGTGAGTTGACATATGGAGATGGAACAGAGGTACGATGATCATAAGAGGGATGGCTGTATTTTTTATCACCAGATTGAAACATATGTTGAATTAGGATGCTTCATTTTAAAGAAAATACCTTGAAAACTCATCAGAGACAACTCATGACCAATGTCTGAAGATATCTTGGATGTATGGTTATTCTGAATTCTATACGACTTACAGATCCTGCTATACTCTCAGCCAGTTCAGGTTAATGTTTTTGTGTTTATTTCTTTTGAAAACTTACATTGTTTACAAACACAGCTGCTTTATCTTTCTCTAACATCCTTCAATTCATCACTTGTGGCTGCTTTGTCAACTGCGTAAGAGAAACAAACAGATTTACTTCATTTCACAGTCACTCCGTTCAGAATCTTCTATTTCTCACATCAGCTAAATAACTCCATGGAGCAAAGTCCTTCATGAACCTGATAGTCACTCAACTGATCAAGAAGATCCCTGTCTTTTTACAAAAATTGATCTGGATATAAATGTTTCACAATAATATCCATGGTTGATGCTTGTGATATCAGTACCGAATCTTCAGGTTCCACTGCTGACTCTCCTAAACAGTGAATTTCCATTAACTAACTACCTGAGCACTGTACCATGGAGTGGAATAGTGACCCAGCTATCAAATTAGAAGCTGTAATGGTTGGTGATAAGAACTTTGAGAACAACATTTTATTGAATGGATTTACTTATGTGGTACATTACTACTATAAACAACAAGGGAACTGTCAACATATGTGCACTATATACAGAATGAAACGAAATTTGTGCGTAAACTCTACATAGTGTAATTCATTTTTAAAAAATACATCAAAAATGTTATACAACATAAGTGGTGAGATGCTTAGTTTTTTATATACACATCACCATAAAATGGGGTAACACAGTTATCAGCAGTGTTATCTGTAATGATGATACATACTCAAGACACCTTGCACAGCAGGGCTCAGTTGTGACCGAATATCATAGCACACACACACGATGAATACTGTGACATGCTCATAACTCTCTGCTTGTAATAGTCAAGCTGGCCCTGCTGCATGGGAATAAGTGTTGTTATCCTTGTCGAAGTCATCCAGATGCTGTGTTTCTATGAAGCAGCATCTCTGTGACGTCTAACACCACATACAGCACATGAATGCAAGTAACCCACAGAGTGTACAGACACCACCCAGTGAAATTTTCATACTTACAGGTCGGGATGAAGAGCTGTGGAGAATCTCACGTGATATTCCACAAGAAATGGAACTGTCCCGACCAAGGATTCTCATCGTACTTCACGACAAACAATTGTATCCATGTCACTACTTGTGGAGTGCACATCTGTTTCCAGATTATCGCCCTCTACGGATGCAATTTTGTAAATGGCTACATCAACATGCTGCAGATGACCGCTTTTTACACAGCATTATGTGGACAGACAAAGTATGAGGGTGTGTTCAACGTCCACAACAGTCATCCCTGGGCATGGAATAATCCTCATTCTCTCTGTGAACGTAGGTATGAAGTCTGCTTCAGCATTTCGGCTGGTATTGGAGACAATGTCGTGGGCCCCTATCTGTGACCTGACAGGCTCACTGCTGAATGATATCGTGATTTTCTGGAAACTGTTTTACCAGGGCTGCTTGATGATGTGCCTCTAGCAGTAAGGCAGAGGTTGTGGTTTCAGGTTAATGGAGTTCCAGTTCAGTATGGGGAAGACGTCCAGCAGTGGTTGAACATGACATATCCAGGAAGGTCGATTGGACAGTTGCCATATGTAACTCCAAAAGATTTCTTTTCCTGTGGGGACACCTGAAGGAGCATGTTTATACCGTCCCTCCCAGGACTATCAAAGATTTTGTGGCAAGACTTCAAGCAACTGTAATAACAGTCAGTGCAAACATGTTAAGGCGTGTTCGAGGATGCCATGCCAGAAAAACAGCCATGGTTTGATCATCTGATAGCTTGCACCATTTGAAGGTAATGTGTATCATGAAAACTAAACATTACAGGACATATGTTCCTTTTTATTTTCGACTTGTTTTTCAACAATGAATCACACTATACAGATCCACTACATAGCACTAGTGTACATGCCCATGATTGTGTGGTATTATTGTGAAACCAAGAATTAAAGCAATTCATTTCAGTAAGGATACTGTTGAAGTATATGTTTCATAAGCAGCAGACGTTTGTGCATAGGTTTGTACACAACAGTTTTGCCGATTTGTGGAAAACTTTCTGTGGTAATATTTTGCATTATGGCATAGGTCCCTAGCTCCTTCATGGTTGCTCTTGTGCAGGTGCATAGAGTAACATGCAACAGCCCACCTATCTCCAGTTGCTAGATAGGTATTGTGCTATATGAAGTGTACTGTGGCTGTACTTCCTGATTTTTAGTCCTGATTGTTGCCCTTGTGTGCCATCATCTTTCAGCCAGGGACATCAATATCATCCCAATCAACATCAGCATTACTGTTTCCATATTTATTAATCATTAATTATACATATTATGTATCATATATTGTGTTTGTCTTTTTCCCCTAACCCTATTTTTGCCATAAGATCTGAACTTGCACTACACTTTTTGCTATTTGTGGGAGTTTTCAAAAACATAACCCCTGAGAATGGCAAAGGTGTGCTGAAAAAGGTACCATCTGATGGCAATGTTAGTTGAAACATGTCATATTTTTTAAAGTTATATTTGTTTCTTCTTATGTTTATGGCCTCTTATTTATCTATACTTATAACAAAAATAACTCAAAATGCATAATGTCAAGATTTCTTGCTAAGTGTTTTGTAATTTTTCTGAACGATTGAACAGATTTGAATACACTTACTTATTCTTAACTGCTGATGTACAATTGCTTTATACCTTTCTTGATATTTCAGAAGCATTTCATTGTAGTTTCACAATGCTTCAGAAAACATCGATACCAAGGTTGCGTGCTGAATTATTTTAACACTTGCAAGAGTTGGTAAGTTTTCAATTGGTGTTTCTTTGTCTTTTTCTACAGTTCTTTCTATTTCTGAAAATAATGACAGTATATGTATTAAACCATCTTGAAGCAAATCAGAATATTACTACATCAGATCTGTGTGTCTCATTTTACATTGTACCCACCTTTGATATGGTTGTGAACCTGGATTATGGTGTGGGAAATGAATCCCTTTGTGTCTTCAACTTCTGAATTGCTTGCTGCAAAATCATAAACAAACCTCTTACATTTGTGATCCATCTAATGAAAATGGCATTAAGGAACAATGTGAATGATGTAATGTAATATGTCTGTAAAGTTATGTTGTGGTTTTAAAGCTTTGATACTTTGCAACAATTGATGCTAGAAACATGTACAAAATATAATACAAAAGAGAAATTGTGAAAGCCTATCTGTGTTGTCGATGTTCCGGGTTGTAACACCATGTGGGCCTGTTGGTAGATACCAGTGTTTTTCAGGGCATTACAACCTAGATGACCAATACTGTTTCAAGAAATGAAAAGCACTCATTGAATACATTCTATCAGAGATGTTATTTAATATTTTCATGAATTGTTTTACAACTCATCCAACAAACTTATACACATCAGACACAAATGGGTATCTGGAGATGTGTATTTACAGACATATTACGCAAAGAACAAATTTACATACACAATTCATCATAGTTTCTTAAAAGTTTACTGGTACAAAAAAAAATTATTTAGGATCAAATCCAGGACCCCCCACATTACAAGTCTGCAAGCTCATTGCTTGGCTACCATGTCTCTTGACCATAAAAACACCTTTTCTGCATACATAGCAAAGGGAGAAATTTTGAATCTTATATTTCAGATTTCAGGAACCAGGGCCCAACAGACAAAAGGATGAGACAGGTGTCTATTCTCTCTCTCTCTCTCTTTCTCTCTCTCTCTCTCTCTCTCTCTCTCTGTCTATCCCGATTGATCACATTTTTGTTGAAATCCTTGACCCAAGTCTGATGACTTATCCTTGTTAGTATTCTCAATTCTTAACACATTCGTTAGTGCTGTTTTATAGTATCAGTACTCATTGTCTTTTTCTAGTGCCTGCATCTGCCTTGTCCTGAGTACTTGGACACATGCAAATTAGTTTTTGTCAACTTTGGCATCTACTCGTTCGTAAGTGTCCTCTGGCGAGATGGATCATAGTAAATTATCTTTCTTGTATAACTGAAATGGAATCAATGTCTTGCCCCACACTGACATTCAGAATTTTTTCAGAGTTAGTTATTCTGACAGACTGTTACTTCCTAAAAGTTCAGGAAAAAATTATTTTGAAGTTTTATTGCACTTCGGTAATTAATTTTTTAAAAAGTAGTTTTGCATGTGCTTTCTCAAACTCCTGGTATTCACGCATTCCCATTCACACGTGCTTCAAAATAGGCAGTACACATGAAGACAAAATAAAAAGTTTTGTTTTTAAACAACTGTAATAATTCTGATTGCACTTCATTTTTATATATTGCAGTCTCCCAATTTATAGGTTAAATTTCCCCAACACTTATTCCATGCTTGGATAGAACTGTGTTAAGTAGATAAAGAAAAATCTACATTACTTACTAGCTCTGCCTCAAGGTAATGAAAGAATGATACTGTTGAGTTTCTTAATTTCCTCAGTATTGGTGTTAATGTTGTCAATTTCAATTCGAATTTTCTCCACCTACATGTACAAAATTTATACCCACATTAATCAGTGACATTTTAAGTAGGGAGAGAAACATGATGTTCCTGTTTGAAGTTCTCATGTCAGTGAGGATGACGATTAATATTCTTTGATACACCTTCAGAAGTAATTAAGTCATAATACAACTGTCAAAACATGAAGCAGGAATATGTATTGCTCAGAGCACTGTGTTATACCTTTATTTCAATTTAATGTGTGTAAGCATCCTCTCCTCTCATTTAATGCTGAGTAATATTTGCAGATGATACAGGATAATTAAGTTGCTCGCATGCATGTAATTTTTATTGGTGATTGTTAGTCAGCATTTTACCAGAGTCAAGAAATTGCCTATAATATTGCAGTATGGAAACCAGGCTGTTTAAAACTGACCTTGTCAAGGAACTGAGTGATTTCATTTGACTTCTTGGCTAAATCAATACGAACTTTATCTACACTGTAGCTCTTTGAATGCAGAGCCTGGAAAAATATATGTATTAGCAACATCAGCAAAGACCATACATAATGTAAATTCCATAAGGTATTAAAGAATTACATTTTGATATTGGAACATTGAATGAATTTTCATCAGAAAACTTTTTGAAATGGTTAACTAAGAAAATGCTTTCAAGTCTCCTGACCAATCAGTTGTAAGTTAATTAACTTTGTAGTTTTACAGATTTTTAGGCTTTAGTTGTCTTGATTTTGAGACATTTCTAAATACTGCACACCTCGGATATATAAACTTTAGATCTGTTATGTGATGTATTTAGTGAAGAGTTCAAATAAAAAGTATAATTTACTTATTACATATTTAAAAATATGTGGGCTTAGTGCTTTAATCCTTACCAGTTGGAGCTCAGGCAGCCGGTTCTTTACCATTATCCGTGCAGCCTAGTGGAACATCAAATGTGATATGACAGTGGTATCTGTGTTGAAAATGAGATAAACTTCAGAGATAACAGTTTCTTTGCAGTGTCAAAAGCATGTTCACTGGAATCCAGCCTCTTCAGTTGACATTATGAGCCTACTGAGATATGAACTCTGCTCCTGGGATGTTTATCTTTTGCTTCTTGATTTATTTAACAGTGTTTGTCAACTGAGTAGGCTGTTTAGTGTTGAATGAATGTAACAGGATGATTACCAATTGGGAAGGGAGTAGCCATGGTTATTTTAAGAATGTCTTAAGTATCGGCCTGGAGGAATTGAGGAAAACCACACAGTCACAGGTTAGCTGGTCTTTCAACTGAGATTGAACCCAGTGTGTCCTGACAAAGGAGGTTGGTTTATTTTGTAATGTTTCATTAATTGTAGGCTATAATTATACAATATTGAATGAGATGTGACAAGACATAGAAGGAAGTGGTCATGGTACGTGAGAGATATGAGGTTCTTTGTTAGTGAAGATATCACTGTTCTAGGTTGTGATGCCTACAAATCCATGTAGCATTATAAGCCAGACAAACAACCGGTGATGTGGCCCCCAAGTGGGCTGGAAGCTTCTTTCTAGGGAGGGTTAGAGGTCCAATTATAATACATATAAATTTATAAGGAAAAGGACCATGTTTAATTATGAATATACAATTTATTGCACAAAATAAGGCATTTAAACTCCCACACTATAAAGCTGCTGAACAGACTTAAATTCAGTGTTAGTGATTAATTGTATGCTAGTGTAATGCATGGCCAGTTGGATTGTACATGGTTCATAAAGTTTAATAGAAAGAGCACTAAAAAGATATGTATGTTTCACTGGATATTTTTAGTCAGTTTTCTTTACATTGCCAAGTTACATGTTAAGTCATTTTTAGAGGTTTGGGTGCCCCACACTTTTTATCTGCATCAAAAGAGCGTCAGACTGAGAGTTTTGGACCTATTATCTAGTTTAAGGTTCTATGCCGGCATACATCTTGTTAGAGTGAAGAGACTCATAAAACTCCTCGTCTAGAATGCTTGGTCTGTGAACCAAGATTAAAACAAGGGTCTCCAAAATATAAAGGAATACTGATTATTAAACAGTGCTGTTCATTTACCTTGTCTCTAAAAAGCTCAGATCATGTGATAATAAATAAATAATAATAATAACAGCAGTAATGCTGATTACGAACATCTGGCTCAACATTTAAGAGTGGTCAAGGTCATTAGAATGTAGTAGTTTTCAATTAATACATACAAAAAGTTGACAGTGGGTTAGTGGAAGAAGGGCCTATCCTATTCTTCCTTCAAAACTACTTTTTTGCACCACGTAGAGTCTGAGCTCAGAAGTTCTGTGTGGGATATGCCCAATTTAGTTTAAAGTGTCATCTAAAATTAGCAGTTCTTTCATTGCGGTGGTTCTTCGTGGAAAAAGCGTCTATCTCATTATGTCACCTTGTCTAGCTTATATGAGTAGAAGCTCAATCTTTATTGGCCATTTTTCTGTAGAGCTCCAATCATTATGTATTTTGCTTACATGTAAGCAATCTTGACTGTGTATGTTTTTTCTGTTACGTCTGAAAGTATCTGTGCTGTTTGTAATAAAAAACATTTGTTTTGGAAAATTTGTCAAAGAAAAGAATGGTGATTATTGCCGAATGGAACGACAATAAAAGACAGGTTTTATGGTCTCATGGCCAAAAGTACAGAAATATAAAGGGTAAGGTTGTGCAAGAAGACTGTTAGGATTGAAAATTTAATGTTGCTCCTCTGAGTGGCGTGGAAATAAATCAATAAGAGATGAGAAGGAAAGTATCTTAAGTAAATACCATAGCCTTGGTTACTACAGCAGCCATATAGATTACTTATTTGGGCTAACAAAGAAATTACTTGCAAACGAATTTGTTGAAGAAACACATAGGCGTACAATGAACCTACGGTGCTATGTTAAGACACCCTGTCGGTGGATCCGAATTAAGAATGTGCAAGACTGCATTTTGCAATACTTTTGGGATTTCTGCAGAACGTGTAAGACATGAGCAAACTCACAAGAAATAAAATTCAAACATGTGAGTTCATATCACTTTGCTGTCACTAAGTTGATTTTTTTTATAATTTTTCAGTGTCACACAAGTTACCACGCACATCAAACACTTGAGCTCATTATAGAAATACTGTGCCTTTCTCCAACACATGTAAAACAATTGCCCAAAATATTAACAGTTCATAATACAAGTTTGATGCATTGAAATGTATGTGCCTATTGCGTATGATTTTCATAGAATTACTGTTGTACAGTTGGGAAATTATTTAGTTGCCCATGGTTTACTGGCTTATAGACTTTAGTGGGAATTTGACACTTTTGTGACAATTTATTATCAGTATTTGTTCATGTTAGGAGGAAAAAAATTATCTTCGCAACTTATCGTCCTTGAATCTGGTGGTGAAACTCAATCTACACATATAAAATATAAAAATTGTAGCTTGTATGGGGTTGATGCAGCAAACACATCACCTAGGCAAAAAGTATGCTTACAGTTCCCATTGAAAGTGTTTAAAGCCTGGCAGTGAACCTATTAAGTTTCACGAAGATCTATTTATCTGAAACAATGACAGTACAGACAAGTAGAGAGATGTAGTCTGCATACACTTGTGTTTGTCTATAGATCGTGCATCCTGCAGACCAGAGATGTGAGAGCAACAGTTTACATGTTTTCCATAGTGTCACGTCAATGTCCACTGGCTCACAACAACACCCCATGACCAGTAATCCTGCAGCAGCTGAGCCATTGCAGACAGACGACGGTTATGACTTAGATGACTATGTCATCACGGCCTAGGCAGAATTTTCTCGTGACAGTACACTTGAGGTCCTCTCCTTGCTGTCTAAGAAGAGGATGAAAATAACAATTGTGAGTATAGCGATGTTCACATGCCATGTGTCACCACACATGCATACACAGATAACACTGTTCCTTTTTATTTCCTCTGCTGAAAATAGTTTAAATGAAGAGTGGTTTGGGTTGTCATGTTAATAATGCTGTTATCATTGTAACTGGTTTAATTTATTTTCAGGCCAGTTAGCTGATAAACACATTGTGCTAGACTTGGCCCTCCCTTCGATTGTGGTTTTCAGTTGTATTTAATTTATCATCATCATCTATGTTGCTTCAGCCCGTTTTCAGGCCATGATCCCTCCACTTAGGAGGATTCTTGGTCTTTTGATGCCTGCATTTGTCAGTAGTGAGTGACCAGCCCACTCCCTCTACACAATTTCTATTTAATTCTGATTTGTCTGCTAGAGCCATCTAGTAGAGAATCAGGAGAGACTTGGGTGAGAAATGGCCAATGAATTTTGCTTATGAGACATCACATATCATGCCCATAAGGTTCTTTTACATGCTGTGAATCTATGACATGGGACCATCAAGCTTTACTTCCCCTCTGAAGGAAGTTGTGCAACAGACTTTTATCACCCTTAAAAATCCATCGACCTCAGCTGGGGTTCAACCCGCAAAGCTTTGGTCCAGTGGCATGCACGCTAACCACTAGTCCACCGAGGGTGACGTATTTAATTGATACATAGCATATATGCACAAGCTAGATGTACAGTTTTGAAGTTTAACCATCTGATGAGATGAGTACAGCACACCAGTACATTGTACTTAGAATTTTTGCTGACTTTGGGTGACTGATTATTACAATATTCCACAAGTGCAATGAAAGATGAAAATCTGATCTTCCTGGCCATATTTCTCAATTACTAAGTGCGGCATTTCAATTTAAATGTCTTCCTTTTATGAGACAGATTTTTCTCATATCATTAGCTCTTTGCAGCGGAAAGGAAGAGAGCGAATTAGCGACAAAGATTGAAGAGGAGACAAGATTCATTGCATGGCCATCACATTTTTTCATTGGAAAGCCTCTACTTTACCTTTCAAGACTTTTGTTTTTGCAGCTGGAGACATGTCTTTGTTATCTTCTTAGTTTTATACATGTCTGTTGTATGGGATACTACAGAATTCCCAGCACTTTCACAATAAGCCTTGCCCTGGAAGGGTTTCAGGAGCATCATAACAGCTTATGAGAACAGTGGAAAATGTTTGCCAGCTTTTTGAATTGCTTGCATGTTTGGTGCAACTCTCAATGCGTATCATGGCAATCAAAACATTCCCACTTTTACCCTGGCACAACATGTGTTTTTAAATCAAACTGGGTTTTGTCATTGGTATGTGCTGTTCCTAACCAAGCCTTCCCTTGTAGAGCAGCAGACTGTTACCCCATATTTTATTCAGTTTTGGGTTCGTACGTTTTTCTGGATTATAAGTTTTACTGTTTGAGTAATGCAATTATTATTACAGTTGCAAAAGTATGGAACAGAAACCACTGGATTTCATGACCAGTTGATCTGGCGACACGTCTTTGTGTGTTTCAGTTGTTATGTAATGTGCGTAGCCTGTAGTAATGAGGAGGCTGGTCAGACTCAGGTGTCACGAGACACAAAGTGCCCGTCAGTTTGAATCAAGCTAATTTGTTATGCCAGTAACAGGCCAATTGGAATAACTCGTTACTGCCCTGGTCTTAAAAGATCCTAATGAGTACATTTGGTTTTGTGTTTTGATTCAGGAGCTGGTCGAAGAGCTGATGAGATCTGATGGAATCCCCCCCCAGTCACAGTGATCATGATAATGGATTATCAACATCACTAAGTTCTCCAGAATCTGAAAACAGTCCAATCTGTGAAAGGAAATCATCAAAGAAAAAATCCCAGTGCAAGCAAAAGTCAAGGAAGGTTCCTAGAAAGCTTGACTATAGCAGTGATGTTGATTCAGTAGGGCGCTAATTTAATGACATAAATGTGAAGTAGCAACAGACAGCGATAGCATGTCATCATCTTGTAGCAATAACAGTTGCAGCTCCAACTGCACTAACAAGGAAAAGATGCCAAGTACAAGTGCCGAACCTCATTACTCAGGAATGATGTACGACACAAGAGGAAGACAGATTCCAGTGCATCTCTGGAAGAAGAAGAATGTTTGTTAAAATAAAACAATAAAGAAAAACTAAACCTAATATAGGAATCTCATACCAGACTACATGGTGCTACAGCTAAGAAAACAGCCAACTTCCAACACATACTGCCTGCTCAGAACACATTGTAAAATGGATCTATGAAAAGATCTGAACATGGCTGAGCTTGTCTTCCTCAGTTTGTACTGCAGATTTTATCATTGCCAAGAAGGTATTAGAAACACACCTACAATTTCAAATATTAAACATTTTAATTTCCTAAGCAAGTACTTAAAAAAGGAGTATTTAATATTCCGTTTATTTATTCATAGTTTACTTTATGATACTTTCAGTAGCATTTGCTAAGAGGATGACTGTAAATAGTTCAATTTAAAAGACGTGGAAAATGAAATTGTAAAGGAAGTGGTCATGGCCTAATTTAAGGTACTGTCCCAACATTTAGCTGACAGGACTGAGGAAAACCACATTAATTGTCAGGCAGGATAGCTGGCCGCTGACTGGGCCCTCATTGATCACATCCCTTTCAAGAAAGCTGCTGCGGCCAACGACAAAGCCAGGCAGTGTATCAAATTCCAGCAGCTGCACAGAACTGAACATCGAACCCCGCTGACCAACATCAAGAAAACTGTGATAAACCTGAGTGACAGGTCCTGGGTGAAGGCCTGAACTATGCGGTGGCCCCTACGGTACTGCCCATTGAAGATTTCCAAAGTGGTGTGGAGAGGGCTGTTCACTCCCTGCCTGAGGAAGCAGCCAAGGAGGTCCGGCAAGAGACCGTTCTGATCCTGAGAGCTTCCAGGGAGCCAGAGGACAACCTGTCCAGAGTTGAGAGGAGAGCCCTCCGGGCCCTGCGGAATACCATGGACCCCATGGTCCTCCCTGCAGACAAAGACAACACGACGGTCGTCCTCAACATTGCAGAATACAACAGGAAGATTCTGGCCCTTTTAGGGGCCCTTATGTGTAGGGTACTGCCCAAGGCCCCCATTGAAGCTGTGGAATGGAAGATGACCCTCCTCCTCAAGAGGTCATCACTTCCTGAGGAGGTCATCTAACAGTTGTGGCCCCGGGGTTTGAGGCCACCTAGACTGTATGGGCTCCCAAAGATCTATAAGGGAGGAGCCCCACTCTGGCCTGTTGTGAGCACCATCAGCGCCCAACCTAAAATCTTGCCCAATATCTTGCGTGACTACTTGGATTACGGGGGCACTCTCCATGTCACGTGAAGAACTCCATGGAATTCTTTGACACCATCAAGTCCCTCTGTGTGTGGGCCATGGGGACATCATGGTCAGCATTCATGTCATGTCCCTTTTCACTATGGTGCCCATTGGTGAAGCCTTACGACTCCTGGAACGGCATTTCGATCTAGACATCTTGAGGCTTTTCCAGCATGCATAACCTCATCTTTCTTCAAGTTCGACAGGCAGTTCTATGAACAGACCAACGGTGTTACTATGGGTTCCCCACTATCACCTATCATCGCTAATTTCTTCATGGAGCACTTTGAAGAAATGATTCTGTTGATTCCATTACATGGATGACACGTTTGTCATCTGGCCCCACAGTCCAGGCAAGTGGTCGGAGTTCCTCGACCACCTGAACAGTGTTCATGAAAACATCCAGTTCACCATGGAGACAGAAAAGGATGGCCATCTTCCATTCCTCAATATTGACATCCACCGCAAGCCTGATGGCTCACTGGGCCACAAGTTTTACTGCAAACCAACCCACACCAACTTATACCTCAATTCCGATTCCCATTACCACCATTTCAACAAACAGGCCATACTTTCCACCCTGGTGCACAGGGCTAGAGCCCTTTGCAACCAGGAAAGCCTGCAGGGTGAACTGGAGCTACTCAGAATCACTTTCAGGAAAAACAGTTACAATGACCGACGGATCCAGCGAGCCCTCAATCCACCAGCGAGGGTGTCACTGTCCCCGGAGAAACCAGCCTCGGTTGCCTTCCTGCCCTACGTCGGAACGACTTTCAACCACATCAGCCGGCTGCTGGCCAGGCATAACATAAGTCTGTAGTTCTTCAGCCGAAGAAGATTCCCAGTTTCCTTCAGCCAGTTAAGGATGATCTAGGACTCAAGACGCCTGGTGTATACAGCGTTACCTTGAAGTGCGGCAAAGTGTACATTGGACAGACTGGCCGTTCCATCAAGACTAGGGTCAAGGAGCACCAGTGTTACATCTGGTTGGGACATCCTGAGAAATCTGCCGTGGCCAAACACCTCTTAGACCTGGGCCACCACATCCATCTCCAGGATACTTCTATCCTCTCAACAAAAACCGGCTACATGGATCGGATAATCAGGGAAGCTATCGAGACTGAATGACATCCCGACAACTTCAACAGGGAAGATGGACTTTGCCTTGGCCATTCATGGAAGCCCCACATTTACTCTCTCCAAGGGCTCTGGAAGTATTCCAGAGAGCACTGCCTGTTCCTGGGCCACTAAACCCTGGCCCTTTTTCAAGGCCCTGATCAGCGCTCCCTTCCACTCTCTGCCCAACTCCCAATGTCTGGTGTCTCACCAGATGCACTCCCTGAGGCCCTCACAAAGGCTGTTTCATCGAACCCTCTCTCTCTCTCCCTTCTTTCTCTCTGTCTCTTACATACCCCAGGACATGACCATGCTCTCTCCTATTGGTCCCTACCCATGCCTGATTTGACACCAGCTCCCATAGGCTAGGATTTGGCTACTCCATTCACTGGACATCTAGCATACTACATGGCGCAACAACCCAGAAGACAGAAATCTTCTTAATCACCGCTGCAAAAACCTCAAATCCTATATTCTTAATATCTTTTTCTTTCTAAAAGACCACTTTGTACATTTCTGAAAAGAAACTATTTGATATGTTCCATATTTTTCATCTTCACATATGCCATCTGAAAACACACGGATTAAATTATACAAAACTTTAATTTTAACTGTTGTTTTGTATTGGTGTGAAAAGTGATCTCACAATAAGGGAAAAACACAATCTGAATGTTGGAGAATAGGGTTCTTAAAAGAATATTTGAACCTGAGAAAGATGCTCTGAACAATGTCTCTACCAAATATTACTAGGGTTATCAAATTAGGAGTATGAGATGGGCAGGGTCTGTAGTATGCACAGGAGAAATAAGAAATGTATACAACTTATACACAAAATAATGGTGCGACTCATTTTTGGACATGTTGGAAAGCTGGTTGCTACCCCAACTGAATACCAATTATGGCGATTACATTCTACAACTGGACGGAGCTCCCCCCCATTTTCACAGGAATGTACGAGTGCTTCTCAATCGTGTTTTTCCACAGCGCTGGATCGGACGTGCTGCTGCAAATGGAGACAACAACCTTCTCCCTTGGCCACCCCGTTCGCCAGATCTTACACCGTGCTATTTCTTTCTTTGAGGGTTTGTTAAAGACAGCGTTTATGTACCACCATTGCCCACGTCCATCCATAAACTTCGTGATTGGATAACGCATGCACTGCAGGCCATTACAGCGGACATGCTACACCGGGTCTGGGATGAGTTTGATTACCATGTGGATGTGTGTCACGTGACCCAGGGTGCACACATTGAAGGATTGTAATTAACGCATGAGAAACTTGGAGAGTTGCTGCCGCTGACGGTGTATGTTGTGCCCGTGTAAGGTGAGAATAAATTTTTTATTAACTTTTGAAACTGCACCATTCTTTTGTGTATACCCTGTACAATATTCTGGTTGGAAAGCTTGAAGGGAAGTAACCACTCAGAATATCTGGGCATACATAGGATGGAGTGGAGTGGATTTATGTTAATCTGGATAGGAACCAGTGGTGGTCTCTTGTGTTTGCACCAAACAACCTTCAGATTCCATACAAGACGGAATTTTTTGACTCTTTCAGCTACTGTCACATTTTAAGGAGGGGCTGAGCTCTGCGGATTCTGTTAGTTGTGGATGCTGTTTTGATTTATTATTGTTTTTTTACAGAATATAAATAATGGAGTCTCTTGCTTCATGTACTAATACAAAAAAATGTATGGGTAATTATGAAAGTTGACTGTGGTCATTTGGCTGATGATGAACTGTATTGTTGATGCTAGTAACATTTTGGTGGGACATATTGCCTTCCTCTTTTGGGTTTAAGTTGCTACAACATTTGTTAAATGTCCAGTACAAATTTTCTTAGTAAACTTATAAAGTAGCATTCATTGACCTGATATGCTTCAGCATCCATATCTTTGCTTTGATAAAGACGTGTTAAACTTGTAACATTCATGTTGTTCATATGTGGCTGTGCTGGCAAATCATTTAAATTCGGTAGAATAACAGAAATTTCATCTACTGAGCTACCTGCAGGCAGCTGGAGACCCTTTGGCTGATGGGTTTTCAGAAGATATTTCTTGAATTACTTAGCTGCCTCAGCCAGTAATTGTACTCTGCACACTGTTTATCTGTCTTTAAATTGGAAATATGCTCCAGTTTTTAGAGATAATTTTCCCCATCTTCCTCTAACCATTTCTGCCATTGCTGAAAAATTTTAATTCCTCCACGTCTTCCAGGTTATTTT